ATGTGAGGCTTCTCAACAATCGAAAGAAAGCACAAAAGCTTTCAGCAAAACCAAACTTCAAGCATTGCACAATATTTGACGAAAATCTCATTGCAATACATATGGGAAGAACATCAATAAAGTTTGACAAGCCAGTTTTCTGTGGAATGGCTATTCTTGATCTCAGCAAGACTTTGATGTACGATTTCCACTACAACTACATAAAAAAGAAATATGGAGATAAAGCCAAGCTTCTTTTCACAGACACTGACAGTCTCATGTATGAGATTGAAACTGAAGACTTTTACAAGGACATAGCAGCAGATGTTGAAGAAAAGTTTGACACCAGCAACTTTCCAAAAGACCACATTTCAAAGATCCCAACTGGTTGCAACAAAAAAGTTGTGGGCATGATGAAAGATGAGGCTGGTGGAAAGATTATTGAGGAGTTTGTTGGATTGAGAGCAAAACTTTACAGCTACAAGATTCTTGAGGACAAAGAAGAGAAGAAGTGGAAGGGAATCAAGAAGACTGTGATAAAGAGTAATATAACTCACGAAGACTACAAAAAGTGCTTAATTCGAGGAAAGATACAAATGAGAAAGATGAATGTAATCAGATCACACAGACATGAGATATTGAGTGAGACCATCAACAAGATTGCTTTGAGCGCAAATGATGATAAGAGAATCATAAGAGAAGACAAGCTCTCAACTTTTTAACATGGGCACTATAAAATATGAATCCTCAGAATATTCCTTTCAATGCATTTATAGTTGGACCAACAAATTTAGGAAAGACAAAATATGTCGTCAATCTTTTGAGCAATAAATTCAATCAGAATTCGACTACATTTTTTTGATTTGTCCAACATTCATCCACAACAAAACTTATGATAATTTTGGAGATTTAGACAAAGACCTCTTTATCTTGACTCCACTTCAAAACCAGATTGATTTTTGTCTCAAGCTCATTAGTTTTGTTTATGAGGGAACTAATACACTTATCATCCTTGATGACTGTGCGGCTTCAAAAGATGTGAAGCAGAGGACAAATGAACTCGTGAATTTAGCATTTAGTGCAGGACATAAGGGAATCAGTGTTTGGGTGCTCACACAGCAGATGACAAATATCTCAAAACCATTCAGAGAAAACATTGCTGCACTGGTTTTATTCTACACACCTTCGGCCAAGGATATGAAGGCAACATTTGATGATTATGCAGGTGATTTGACGAAAGAAGAGCAAATTGAATTAATAGCAAAGCTGAAGAATGAGAAATATTCTCATCTGATTTTATCACTTTGTCATCCCCTCGATATAAAATTTGAAAAAGAAATAAAATAGAGATGAACGAAGCGAGCAAATAACAAGAAGCAATCACAGATATTATTGCTATGAACATTCTTGAAGCAGAACCCACAAGTGATTCAGATCACCGAGAGCAACTTGCTGTTCTCGTTGCGAGTGGAAGAGCAAAGGAAATGATTGGTGTCTCTCTCACCCAGGATCAAGTCAAAAGGCTTTGTGAAAAAGATGTTGAGAAGTACTTCAAAAGATATGAGGCCACAATCTCTTCAAAGACTTGCGATGCGATGGTCGACACATTTCTTCAGCTTTCTTGTAAAGCGTTGGCGTATTTTCTCCCTGTTGATGAAGGAAAACTCATGAAAGACCTGAACGATGACTTCATTGTGAAGAGAGAACTCGGAATGATTGCAGGAAGCTTGAGTTTGAAGTATGGAAAGTACATGGCGATCGCAAGTGCTGCTCTTCTCACTGCCAAAAATGTTGAAGTTCCCTTAAAACCAAATGTGGTTAATGTTGAAGTAGAAAGTAATTGTGAAGAACCTGAAAAAGAACTTGAATAAGAACTTGAATAAGAACTTGAATAAGAACTTGAAAAAGAACTTGAATAAGAACTTGAATAAGAACTTGAATAAGAACTTGAAAAAGAACTTGAATAAGAACTTGAATAAGAACTTGAATAAGAACTTGAAAAAGAACTTGAA